CTGTCACAGTCATCCTATCACGCCCGCAACTGTGCATCTTAATGCTCTTCTTCTACTGCAGGCAAGTATGTGACATGCAGAGAATTAAGGTGTAAATACATGACTGTGTGTGTGTGTGTGGGGGGGGCACCTCCCTACCTTGGGGTTGTTGTATGGGCTTGTTACAGCAACATTCCTCCACTCAGCTGCTTCTGAACAGCACATTCCACAAAGAGAGGGAGGAAGGAAAAAGAAGAGAGTGAGTATAGAACGAGGAAGGACTGGAAATGAAGAGTCAGTGAAAAAAAGGAGGGGGGGGGGGTGTAAGTGTGTATATGTTTGAGAGCCGTAGACGTATCTGTGGAGAAGGAGGGGTAAAGAGAGTGGAGATGCACTGGCAGAGGAAATTGGTAAAGGAAGGAAAAAGGGTCATAAAAATATCATGTGTAAGTGATCCTCCCCCCCTCTCTCCTGCTCTTGTGAAATTTTGACTCCCATCTTCTCTGCATGGAGATCAGAGGTCAGGGTCAGATGCAGTGCAACCAGAGCCAGTGCTGAGAAAAGAGAGAAGGCCACGAGCTCTTTCCTAAAATATTCCTCATCATACAGCCATGAGAGAAGTCATGCACATGCGCACACACACACACACAGAGTACAGTAGACCACACTGCTCTTTGATGTGCGTTTATCTCTTCAGTCTGCTTGACCTGTTTCTAATGAACTGTGCTGGGAGGAAACAGAATAATCCAGCTACACAATTACATCCTTCTGCACAGACTCACAAAGAAATCATTATTTATGTACCTTAAAACTGACACAGTATGCTTTTCCTGCTTCCCATCCCAACTGTATTCACACCTTGTGCTTGAGAGGGGCAGCCAATCAGAAGAAACATGGGTTAAAGGAAGTGGTCTTAGAGGGAAACAAGCTGATACATGATAATGAGTAAGAATTTTTTTTTTTTATAAAGAAGGACAAAGCTACCGTATGCTACAGTCACATTAGGGAAAGCAGTGGTTGGGCACCAGTTGTGGTAACTTTGTGCAATGAACTTGCAGTCTTATTGTCTTCGAAGTAGTCTTTTCGAAGGCGGGGTAAGGTGCTCTCTTTAAAGAAACCTTGTTGGGTTAAGATGGTGAAAAGCTGGAGTCGGTCTGCAATAATTTATAATTAAATGGGGTCTTACATGCAATCTGTTTGTGATATTACAGCAGTTATCTGTGAAAAACTGGGGAAACTGTTGCCATCTACACAGAAATTAACATTAACTACTTACATTCAGAGTCCAGAGAGAACCTAACAGAATTGTAAGAGAAATTCTTCCACAACCTCTGATGTAGTCGGTGCAGGGCAGCAATTTAACTCCAAAATGCTTTTATATAGGAATATAACCAGAGTACAACCAGTTAGAAACCCAACCAGCTGAGTCAAAGAAGTGCATCGTAGACAAGTTGCACTGAAAAGTGCAAACTGGCTTAGCTTGACTGCAACGTGTTGGCAATCTGTCTTCATTTATATAGTTAACCCTCACCAGTGTGTATGAGAGTAATTGCAGTCAGTTCAAGTATCGCCAGAATTGTTTGGAGATAGGTTGCTGCAACTGCCTTGTGATTAAAAGTGGTCGGACAGAAGTTGAGGGTGTTGGGTGCCCAAGTGTGCGAGCAGTCGGTCGCCGCGACTACTTGCAATTAGTGACTGTATGCAAAAAAATTCAGCCATACAGACACTGGGAAACCATTAATTTTTCCTCTTTACAAGGAAGTTGCCGTCCTATTTTTAGTGTGTCTGAGCCAATAATATGAGTATTATTAGTAAAAGTATGACAATAATAATAACATGTTCCTAAACAGTATTCTTTCTCATTTTCAATATTCACTCAACTAAGACTAATGACCCTGGCTGCAGTGAATGCATTCAAATAATTTCTGCTCATAATATAAAGTTTTAAAAGACTTTAATGACTTTGAAGACATACATCTGTTGCCATAAAAACACCAACAACTGCACTGCAGGTTTTGGCAACTGTACAGCAATGAGAAGATAATTGATGGTTAAGATGACAACAGCAAAGACTCACGATACTGCACTTTAGAGCTTACATGACCAGTCAGTTAAGCATTCAGTGTCAATACAAGATAAATCAAATTATTAAATTAAAAATATATATATTTGATACATACCAAAATACTAAATATTTCTTTGTTTGAGCATACATTGGGGTCTTTTTTTTTTGGCTGAATATCTTTGGGTTCTACTTTCTTAGGCTCTTTAATCCCCCAAAAATGTTCAGAATTCATTTATTGGATTAGTAGATAATGCATCTCTTAAATACAGTAACAACTAAACTATAGATTCCATTCAGGGCAGAGCTAAGGGCAAGAAAGTTTGACTCAGCTCAGAAATAAAATTAAACAACGAGAGAGAAAATGTAGGAAAGCGAGAAGGACATGAAACTGGGACAGCAAAGAAAACAGTGAATATTTACTGGGATAACAAGCAAATAAGTTTAAAGACAAGAGCAACAAAAAGCAGTTTGTGTGAGGAAAGGCTTGTTGGCTCGCTGA